CATTTCCTAGACATGGCACATGTTACTCCCATGGAGGTTAAGGATTTCTTTGAAATGAATAAACAAACAAAAAAAAGCACCAATAAAAACAAACACTTTGAGTGCATGCATGTATGTTCCCAATCCCATCAACCAAATTCACCTGTGGATAATAATGGGTTTCCTGCCAAGATAAAAATGAGAAGAGTCATTCCTCAGGTAAAAAGTGCAAATGCCAAAGTTCAAGATTGGGACTTTGAGAAATATGGACTGTCAGCAGCTTTGGCAGAGCATGTGGTATGAACATGGTGATCTGCCTGCCACCCATCAGAGGTGTCTTGCTGGAAGAAGCAGCCTTGCCTAGCAAGGGGAGAAGGAGCACCCAGGAAACATGCAAGTCTTCCCTGTACACAGTATTGGCTGTAGCAACAGCACTCTTGCCCCAGTACGCATCCAGGGCAGGGCAAGGTCCCCTGCTCCCAGGCTCACATTCTTAGTGCACAGGTCTGTCCTAATTTGTTTTCTATTGCTGTGACAGACACCATGGTCAAAAGCAACTTGGGAGGAAAGGGCTTATATCATCGTATAGCTGGTTGTCCATCATCCTGGGAAGTCAGGACAGGAATTCAGGTAGGTATCTGGAGGCAGGAACTGAAGCAGTGGAGGAATGCTGCTTGCTTTCTGGCTTGCTCTCTATGGCTTGCTCAGTTTATTTTCTTATAGATCCAGGACCATGTGTCCAGGGCTTGAAGTACACCCATAGGGAGCTAGGTCCTCCCACATTAATCAGGAAAATGCCCCCACAGAATTGCTTCCAGGATAATCTGATGGAGGGATTTTCTTAAAAGAGGTACTTTCTTCCCAGATGACCTCATCTTGCCAAGGCGATCCCCCAGGACTTCTGACAATGGGGGAGATAGCTTGGCCAGGAGACAAAATCAATCTTTAGAAAGTCAGTGTCTCCTTCTTGATAACTAGGAGACTGACCTGTACATTAAGGTGAATGAGTTGCAGTTCCTGGGACTGTGTTCTGGGTGGGTGGACAAGCTTGAGTGCACGCAGTTGTTTGCACACAGGGATGAGATTCCTTGGAGACCTGTCAGTTTCCTCGTTAGCATTTCCCCTACACCTAACCTTAACACTGCACAGGTACACTACCTTGTAGTGCAGGAGACACAGTACTAAAGTACTAGTGTTGGCTGCCAGCTCCCAGAGAGCAGGTAGGTCCCTAAGCTCTTACTCCCCCCCCATAGTCATTCAATTCTTGTCTCTCTTAGTCTCCCTCAACACCAGTCTACCTGCTTGTGTGTGTGGGGTCTCATCACCATTAGCATGACCTGGCTCAGGGTGCCACTTCTCTCACACCTGGATGGTGGTCACACCTGCCTCTTCATGGGCCTCTAATCCACTCTCAACAACACCTGAGTGTGAAATGAAAATTCTCTAGACTGAGTAACAGATGGCTCTAGAGAGATGGAATGCTCTAGATCTAGAGCCAACATCATCTTGGGCTCTTTGGTCCCCACAGTAGTCATTTATCATCCCCCTCTATATCTGACATCATTCTATCAGGCAAAACATCTGGATTAAATTGACTTAGCAGATCAGTAGATTCCATCAAATTCAAAGCTAAAAATATCACTGGATACCATCTGAGACCTACAGCCGCGATCCCCCCACTTTACTGAAACCTGCACATCTGATGTCACTGCTAATGAGTTTGGTATATGCACTAATTTGATGATTTAGAATGGATCTCTCTCTCTCTCTCTCTCTCTCTCTCTCTCTCCCTTCCTTCTTTCTTTCCTTCCTTCCTTCCTTTTCTTTTTCTTCTTCTTCTTTTTATTTTTTATTTTTTTGGTTTTTCGAGACAGCGTTTCCCTGTATTGTTTTGGAGACTGTCCTGGAACTCACTCTGTAGTCCAGGCTGGCCTTGAACTAACAGAGATCCACCTGCCTCTGCCTCCTGAGCGCTGGGATTAAAGACGTGCACCACCAACACCCAGCTTTGACTTTCATCTTTTAACTATAAAAAATCATGAATGTAACTGACTTCATGGTGGAACACGTCATTCAGGACAACCTGAACCTGTCCTTTAGCCATGGACGGTCTAATTTGTCTCAGAATATACTATTTCACATATCATTTGTGTGGACACTAGAGAGCCTTCCACGTGCACACAGATCACACACTGCTTGTTCAGCACCGTCCAATGAGTTCCTGAAGGGTCCAAAGAATTAATCGATAGCCCTTAGTTCCTTGTGATGTCCTCAGCTCAGGATTAAGCCACAAAAGGTGAGCAAAGGCCAGTGAGAAGAGATGGTAGTGAGGCCACTGCAGGTGACAACTGGTTGCCACTACAGGTTGATTGCTTTTAAAACCTAAAACATGTGAAACCCACAATGTTCTCAAATCCAATTTTGAGCACTGATAATTTCCACAAATGGAAAAAAAATCCCATAGTTGATATCTCAAGCAAAAAACAACAGTAAAAATACAGATGTGCTGACAATGTATAAAAAATTATAAAAAATTACCTCCCGAGTCAATACATCATGTTTATCTGCTCAAGGTATATATGAAGTAAATGTATTTTAGATTTATGGAGAGCTCTGTCCCTAAGATAGCTCATGATGCTCATGAAAATGTTGTAATCAGTAAACCACCCCAAATCCAAACCAGTTCCAGTCCTTAGCATTTCAGGTAAGGGAGTCGAGCTTATACCAGCACTGGACTGGCCAGCCAGGCCTCACCCCTGCCTGTGCTCTGCCTCTCTCTAGTCACTGGGGATGGCTGGTGGTTCCCAAGACTGAGTTCTTACACCTTCATGTTTCCTCACCTGTGCAGCCTCAGCCTAGGTTCTCATTCCTTCACATCACATGACTCTGTGACTTAGATGTCAGGTTTCAAATTAGGCTGCACTATTTTCAAGATGCCCTCCCTTAACATTTCTGTTCCCTAAAACTGGAATAGTGTTTTCTACTGCAAGGCATCAAGGGCACTGGTTCTATCCTAATGTGGAATAATCTTTTTGTGCACTGTAAAGATATGTCATTCTGATTGGCTTAATAAAAAGCTGAATGGCCAATAGCTAGGCAGGATCTTCAGGCACAAGGGATGCTGGGAAGAAGAAAGAGGGAGCTGCCAGCCAGATGGAGAGGAAGCAGCATAAACAGAATAGAGTAAAGGTAATAAAGTCTTGAGATAAAAAGCAGATCGATAAAAATGGGTTAATTTCAGTTGTAAGAGCTAGTTACTAACAAGCCTAAGCTATCAGCTGGGCTTTTATAATTAATAGTAAGTCTCCATGTCATTATTGGGGAGCTGATGGTCCCAAAGAAAAGGCTGGACTACACTACCCCACTGTTTGGCCATCTCTACATCTCTATCCTAGCTTACTGTCCTGGGGCCCAGCTGGGATGAAGACAGATGCCTCAGGTCAATGAAGGAATGAGGTGAATTCTGTTTCCCTTTGTGGATATCGATGCTAAGTTACAGGCTGTAATAGACCTAGACCCGTGTTTGCAGAAAGCCAGCCAGAGAATTGCACTGGACCATGACCCACCTAATTTTACAAGACCCACATATGTGTACAGTTCCATGTCATGAAGACAAAGTGCTCGGGCTTCTAGTTTAACCACATCAATGCCATCCTAAGGCAGGAAACTTCCAGACAAAAACAACATGACTGCTACCCAGGAACTTACCATGAAGATAGATGCAGGTTTCAGGTTTGGGCCTTCAGGGAGTGAAATACTTCCTTTTCTAAGTTAGAAAGTGTAAGAATGGTGATTTGTTAGCATCATATGTGATTACATGGTGAGAAATAGGCAGGAAGGGATATCAGGCTACAAGTAGTATTGGCTCAGGTGGACTTGGTTTGTGGCCAAAGAACCTGTTTTTCTACTGTGTTTCTTACACCGACGTAGGCATGACAGTTCTCCTGAGACTATGAGGGAACCTGGCTTGCGCCATCTCATGGTCCTCACAGTCTCACAGCGGGTTTGTCTCCTGACATCACCTGCCTTTCCCTTAACTTAACTCTCACTAGATTTAGATTAGGAAAACTTAGTAGCTGGCCTTACATTGCTCTGTAAAGGAGTTTTGAGTTCTTTCACGTTAAGAGTTGAAAATGGATTTGGAATGAGTCTGTGGACTGCTTGCACAGGGTATCCCTGTAGAACATGCACTAGCCCAGAGACCAAATGCTCATCTTCCTTCCGAAGGAAAAGTTTCACTTATGTGTCTGAATTTCTTTACATCCACAAATGAAGTTTTCTTCTTGTTGCTAGGGATAAAAGACAGAAGGCATGGGCTTTACTCTGAGCTATACCTCCAGCCCCAGAAATCCCAAGACATTTTTTCGTTTTCTTTTAGTCTTCCAACAGTTTGTTATATGTCCTTCCTAACATGTGCTGTCTGCCTTCTGGAGGGAAACATGTCTTCTGAGCCAAGACCAGGTGCACTGTGATCCTGCACAGAGAAGCACACGTGATCTTCATATGTCACGTAAGAATACACTGCACATGATGTTAGACTTGGTTGACTTGCCCTTTATTAATAAAGTGAGTAGTGTTTGGCAATTCTGCCATGGAGAACAACCATGGCTAAAACACATGCTGAGAGACATCTCTGGAGCAGGAGAACCTAACAAGAGGGCAGAGTCTGCACTACATATCCCCAGGAGCTAGCTTTCCACACTGGGTGGTGTTCACGAGAAGCAGTTACTATTATGAAACAGAACACAGTAGTGTGATAGAGCTCTTGAGATTATTCTACGAGCATCCATCAGGTTGAAGGGACACCACAGCAGTGGAGTTAAGGCAAAGATATTTTCTCTTGCTACAAAATCTCCATAGTTATGAATGTATTCCAACATGATTATACATGCATTCAATTTAAAATGAAAGACAAACAAGTTAACAAATTACTACAGGACACTTAAAAATAAACTCTACGTCACTTTTCTTTTTGGCAGCACCAGCCTGAACTTTGCAATATTTCAGAAACGTCAGGTACATTACAGTCTTCTGAGAAAGGCCCAGTACTTCAGAATTCCCGGGGCGGCTGTGGAGAAAGAACGTTACTGGCAACCAAGTTAAGACAGTTAAGAACCTATGGAAATACATGCAGCTGTTCACACATGTTTACACATAATTCGGCTTTACTTTACTGCCCTACTGCTTTGTACTCGATTTTCTCTCTTCAGTACCAGGGTCTCACATCTACTCTGTGGTGCTCTAGCAGCGCTCCTACCAGCTTCCCTAGCTCCTCTTTAAAAATAGATTATTTTAGTTGGAGATAGTGAGTTCACGGGCACCTTTCTCACTACACACACAGGGCCCGCACACACAGAGAGTTGGCAACCTCACTTTCTCTGGGCCTCAAAAGCTCAAATTTGACATGCTCTAAACACACAAGAGGATTGCACTTCTTGTTCAGGGACTCCTTTTGTGATGGGATTCAGAGAAACCCGGTTGCAGCATCTTTTTAGGGAGAAATTAAGTGTATTTTTTCATTCATATGGCTCTGCATGCTTAAGAAATGTGAGCTGGCATAAAGGACTGGACTGTGCATAGCTTCCTGGGGTGCCTGCTGCCACAAACTTCAAGCTAAGGAGTTCTCATGGCCAGAATCTGGGGGCTGACCCACCAGAAAACCTCATGGAAGCCCACACTGAAAAAGCTTAATAGCTCAATGACATAAATGTCTTTCTCTTTGGTTTCAAAAGCAAAAGAAACATGACTAATAACATTTTCAACTATGAAGCAGAATTGACAGGGATACCGAAGAAACCCTAGCCTTAAGGAAAAGAGAGAAATAATTCTAATGAGGTAGCTGAGGCCAAACAAAGATCAAGTCCACGAGCTCACACAGTAAATGCTCAGGGATTTTAAAACACAAACTGCTATGGTGTCTAAAATCTATGATTTCTTTCCAACTCCTGCAGGTACATGCAGACCTGAGACTGGGTCCTTGCATCATGAGGCCAGCTGGAGGCTGGGTTGTATAAAAGCAAACAGGAAGCAGGCCAGACCTCTGAGCTATGTGGCTCAAATGATGCTGGTCCTGCACAGAGCAGGCACCAAGTGGAACTCAGGACTATGACTGGCTGGCAAGTGGAGTATGACTTGAGGCAGCAGGGAGGCTATGGTCTGGTAGACTTAGCAAGCTCAATGCAATTCTCAGAAGTCCCCTCCCCTGTCCTTACACACAGTATTTTTGTGGGGATTATTCCACCCTTCCATGGGAGGGTCCAGTCCCTTCCTCCTCCAAACCATCTCAGGTTCTGGAACACCACTGCTTCCAGCTGCTCCTGCCCTTAGTTCTCATTACTAAGGTCTGGGCTGTTACTTGGTGAGTAGCTTTTCAGAGGCCAAGTTCAAATGACTTCAATGTGGAGTTGAACAAAAGCATGGCCATCCTAATCCTGGCCGCAGGGGATTTATAACTTTCAGCACCACCAACACCCAGTTCTCATATGCCAAGACACATTTGCATGTATACTCTTCCAGAATGCATACATTGGCAGGCACACTCTTACACACATGCATGCACATACACACTCTTACACACATGCATGCACATACATACATTCGCAGGCACACTCTTACACACATGCATGCACATACTTACATTGGCAGGCACACTCTTACACACATGCATGCACATACACACTCTTACACACATGCATGCACATACACACTCTGCACACATGCATGCAATACACACTCTGCACACATGCATGCACATACACACTCTGCACACACACGATGAATACACAGCAGTTCAGCAGCATCCCAGGTGCAGCAAGCTCAGGAAAGGCCAAGATTGGTGAAGATGGGTAGAGTGAAAGACCTTGAGCAGGGCAGGGTAGGGTTGCTGGGGAAGGAGCCCTGAGTGGTCCACCTCGCTGTGGCCTCCTTTTGTAGTCCTCAGAGGCAGTAGCCAGCACACCAGGCACACCAGCCTGTAGGCAACCCAGAAGACCCGTAGCAGGAAGGAAACATCAGATCTCTCTGTTAGGTCTCTGTCGTGTAGTTATTGCAGGTCAGAGGAGACAGGGCTGAAAAGCTGCTCCACCGCCTGGTGCTAGGCCGGGGCTCCATCCGCCCTTGCTCTTTATATTTACCCAGAATACTTTTGGCTTCTTCTGCATCCCGCAAAGGGTTCTCTCCATATTCTTCTTTCAGCCACTGTCGATACTGTAAAAGTTGGAAACAAATCCCAAACAACACACACACACACACACACACACACACACACACACACACACACACACACACACACAAATTCACAGTGACTTTCACTTAAGAAATGGTAAAGTTTCCACAAATAAGCATGGAAATAATAGGGTATCAGGCAATCAGAGTTTTGTGGTTGACAGCCAATGGGAAGCAAAAGAAAGAGCTCTTCCTTCAACAATCTGGGCTCAAAGACTTAAAAATCTGCTGAACTATCCATCTACATAGCAGACTTGGAGCAGTTAATGCCTGCAGCCAAGGGGCCTAAAATGGATGCAAGAAAAATGTGTTCTTGTGCCATCTGTCTGTGACAGCCAGGACTGAAGAAAAGAATTCAGGAAGAGTTATGGTTTGCAATTCAGAATGACCTCATAGAAAGGTGACCCCATTTACCCCAGCCAAGAACCAGATACTTGAGTTGCCATAATTAGTATGGGAAATACTCGCTTCCACTCTCACCTGGTTGATTGTAATAGCTTAAAGGCTAAGATATGAAAAAGAAAAATAAGAAGAAAGTAGGCCAAACCAGGAAATGGTAACCACACCTAAAGGGAGAGAAACAGGCTGACACGAAGAACCAGAAACAGCCACATAGCACAGCTGTAGCACAGGAGCACAAAGCATGGCATGTGGGGAGACTCCTTCAGGGATGCAGGAAGACTCTCTCAGGGATACTGGAAGACTCCCTCAGGGATGTGGGAAGACTCTCAGGGATGCAGGAAGACTCTCTCAGGGATACCGGAAGACTCCCTCAGGGATGTGGGAAGACTCTTAGGGATGCAGGAAGACTCTCCTAGGGATTTGGGAAGACTCCCTCAGGGATTCAGGGGAAGACATTGGATCCCATGGGGGCCTTTCAGTTCCAAGTGCCACAATTCTCAAAGTGCAAGGCATGGCCCAGGGTGGCTATCTACATCTGTAAAATTCCCCAAGAACTACTCACCTGGTGCACTTCATATTTCTCAAACTCCTGCAGCTGTCTTTGGAAGCCCAGGTTGGGGTTGGCACAAGACCTCCCTGCTCGAACAGTATGCAAGGCATCTTCCCAACCAAAGTCGGTGACAGTCATGATGTATGCAATCACCAGTGTCACACTCCTGGAGACCCCAGCCAGGCTGTAGAACCAAGACAGCTACATGTTGCAAGAACAGTTTGAGAACTATAGATCCACCACTCCACCTATCCAAAGGACCTCATTTTAGAAAGTCTGTCTACATTGAGGCTTTCATGGAAGCAGGCAAGGACTTACCAGAGAATTACTCAGGAATATACCAAGAACTTTGCTCTACCCCAGCTCTGCTGAAGCTTAACCATCCTGTAGGCATTTCAGCCTCATTTTCTATAGTTTTTCTATAGGATAACAGCATGGATAGTCTATATTTCTTTGGGCAATAATGTACCGCAGCACAGTGAGGAGCTTATGGCTTCCAACCCTATGCAACAATTCCTCTCAAATCCTGAAGGCTTCATGGCAAGCAACAGTGGTTGGTTTGTTAGTTGGTTTACACCATCAAGGGGTTAATTTTAAATGCTGCATATGCAAGTTAAGACACAGAAGGCTGTACTTCTGCAGAGTGCCCTATCAATGACTGAACATAAGGAAGAGTATTCTTGTTTTCTGAAAAAAATCAGACATACACAAATATATTAAACAAGAATTCTTAGAATACAGTCCTAGAATATTCTAATGACAACAATAACACCCCCCCCTTGAGCACCAGCTCATCAATAGAGCTTTTTATTAGGAACTGCAAGGGAATTTTAAACAAATATATCCTCTTTGGCTACAATTTTGATTTGAATTCATCTGAAGTCTGGAGAGAGCCCAGGATTGGTGTTTTAGAATCTCTATCAACCGCTTCCAATTGCACTCCCAAGGCACTTTAATCCAAATGTAATGGAAGGTTGAAACAATAATCACTTGCATTGATTATACTATCTGCTTTTTAAAACAGTATAGCAAAAAATACTGCACAAATATGCAATGTATAAATATAAACCTGTATAAATCTGCAAAATACCATTCTTAAAGCTACTGAACCATCTCATGTCCTTTTCTGCTTTGGTGGACTATTGGCTCACAGCTTTTGGGTGTGGCTTCTCTGTCTATTCTATGGTGGCAGGACTACCACCAGCATAGGCACCAAGACTTACCACTTCACATTGCTTGTGCTGCGGTGTGGGGGAGGGTGCTGCTGCTTTCACTTATACTTTCAGTTAATTGATATTATACATCACTCAAGACAGAGGGGATATGATCAATCTCTACCTTAACTATGACAGAGCCATGGTTTCAAAATGTTGCAAGCTATTATTATCGTCACCAATGATAATACTCAGAACTCAGCAGGTGAAAATCAGAACACTGCACATGCACTGCATTTACTAAGTATGCTGCCTTGCCTTTCTTGTCAGTGTGTGTGTTTATGTACACGCACAGGTGACCTTTCTGACCATGAGTCACTGGTCTCAGAACTCACTGTGGATCCTCCATGGTGTTCAAGGTCTCATAAAGGCACAGAACTTGGTGCCATGTGTGCATACTCTCCCAAACATTTTTATGCATCCCTAGGTGACACTGCAGCACACGACAATGCAAGTGGCAGCTCAACAGCTGATGCTGTTATCCTATATTGTTTAGGAAATAAGGACAAGAAAAGCGTGTACATGTTTGGTATAGACACACTTTTCCTGGATATTTTTGACTTGTGGTTGAAATCATGGATTTGGAACCAATGGATATGGAGCATTGACTTTCCATTTATGATATAAAGTACCAAAGACTAAAGGTGGGTGCCTGTCAATAAAATATTTAATCCTAAGTCTGCCTGGATCACTACAAAGTACTAGAGGCAAACATACACAACAAGAGCCCAACATGAAAGTGGAAAGGAATTATTTTGTTGTTACAGAAATGTATCTCTGTGGAGCCACAGTTATTACCAGAGTCAGCAGGAGGAAGCAGGGCTGTGGAATGGCTACTGTGGGTCTGGTGTGAGCCCAACAGAACCAGCTGACATGTAAGATACTGTTCCAATAAAATGTCAAGCTAGGAATGACAGTGCTTTGTGCTTACTAACCTTGACAACAACCTCTAGAAATCTGAGCGGTGACTGAAGCAAAAACAAAAGCAAAACCAATTTTCTTTCAGTAAGAGGAAACAAGGACTACTGCAGAGCAGGGCAGCAGAACAGTATGGATGTGAGCTTCAGATCTACAGAGTGCTGTTAGGACATGAACTGAATAACCACATAGAGAGTGTGCTAATTTGAATGAGAAAGACCCTCATTGGCTCATATACTTAAATTCTTGGTTCCCGGTTGGTGGAACAGTTTGAGAAGGATTAGGAAGTATGGCCTTGTTGGAGGAGGTGTCAATGGGGAGGACAGTGACTTTGTCTGGGCGCTGAAGTTTCAAAAGGCCAGGCCATTCCGGTTAGCTTTCTGCTTCATGCTTGGGGATCAAGTCCTAAGTTTCTATCTACTGCTCCAGCAGTATACCAGCCTGCCTGCTGCCATGCTCCTCACCATGGTGGTTTTGAACTCAAACTGTGGAACCACGAGCCCCCAGTTAAATGCTTTATTTTGTAAGGTCAGGGTAATTTATTACAGCATTAGAAAAGCAGCTAAGATAAAAAGGCACTAATTAGAAGTCAAACTTATGACAACATTATCAATAAAGAGTCATACCTACCAGTGCACAAGACAGCCCTCACCCTGGAGTCGGCACTCATGAATGAATTTAATACTTTCTTTGAAATGTCTTGTCCTATGCAGAAAAAAAAGGTGAAAAGTGACATGTACTATTTAACATCTGATGAAAAGAAACATCTTTTAGGATTTCCTAAGATGTCTTACAGCAGTGGCTCTCAACCTTCCTAATGCAGACTCTTTTCAATAGAGTTCCTCATGTTGTGGTGATCCCCAGCCATAAAATTATTTTCCTTGTTACTTCATAATTATAAATCTGTTACTGTTATGAATTGTAATGTGAATATCTATGCTTTCTGGTGGTCTTAGGTGACTCTTGTAAGTGTCTTTTGACCCCGAAGGTGTTGTGACCCACAGATTGAGAGTCACTGTCTTAGTCTGCCCCATGTAGAGCCAGACCATCCTGGAGGATCAGAGCTGCTTCAGCCTTAGTTGGTCACAGGCACACTGAGGCTTAGAAGGCTCACAATCATCCAAATTTTCCAGAATAAATCTTCAAGCCATCCCTGCATCATATGTTGCTGCTAACTGACACATGGAGCTTAACCTCTTATGTTCATTCTGCCCCTCACACTGGCTGTGAGCACTGTACAGCCTCAGAGCTTGGATGAGGAAGGTATCCCTGTCATGTGGGATTCCAAAGTCCTAGAAGCTGGCTCATTTCTGACACCCTGGAGAGCTTGGAGGTGCTGGCTGTAATGATCTCCCTAGAGACTTCCCTGGTTGTTCTCATCACTGCAGCTGTGGGGAAAGCAGAGTTTAGTTTTAACCCATTCTGCCACTCTCTGTGACCTTAGAAGCATGACTTAGAAAGCAAGGATAATGGCTCACAGAGGAGACAAGGTAGAGTATCAGTAAGCTTTGCAAACTCAGCAGTTTACAATGATGCTGACTGTCACAGTTCTTTCTTCTGATCCTTATCCTTTTGGGTCACTTCTTTTCTGGGCACTTGTTCAGCACACAACTATTCAGGAGATCCGTGGTCAAGTTCCTCAGCTGTATGTGTGCCTTGCACCATAAAGGCAGAGACCTACAATGGAACATAGGCCAAGTAAAGGTTTCTAGGGATAGGCCTAGAACCTTTTGCCAGGTGTATTATACCTTCAGGTAGTTTCTAAAGCACTGAAACACCCAAAGCTGCCCCTGCTCTATAAGCACTGAGTACTGGCCATTTACCAAGGATTATGATAGGCTTGGAGACGACTGGTAAGGAATAATTCTCCCTGAAGAATGACAGAGCAAATGAAATCCAGCTACTGCTACAGAAGAACTCACTGGGGTTATGCTGGCAAGAGGTAGTATGGTGGTTTGAATAGAAATGCCCCCCAGACTCTTATGTTGAATGCTTGACCCATGGGGAGTGGAACTATTAGGTGTGCCCTTGTTGGAGGAACTGTGTCACTGCAGAATTGAACTTTGAGGGCTCTTATATGTTCAAGTCACACTCAGTGTGAGAGATTACTTCTTGTTGCCTACAGATCAAGGTGTAGAACTCTCAGCTCCTTCTCTAGCACCAAGTCTGCCTTCACATTGCCATGCTTCTCACAGTGATGATAATGTACTAAACCTCTGAAACTGTAAGCCAGCCCCAATTAAATGTTTTTCTTTATAAGAGTTGTTGTGGTCATGGTGTCTCTTCACAGCAATAGAAACCCAAACTAAGACAGATGTTAGTACCAGGGTATTGCTGTGGTAGGCCAGGCTGTGTTTTTATTTGGAGGAATGTGGACTTTGGGAGTTTGGATTAGAAGAACAGTTGAATGTGTTAAGCGGGGCTTAATGGGTCACATTAGAAGTGACATGGAAGACAGTGGGGCTGATGGTTATTTGAACTTGTGGCAGCCTAGTTCAAGAGGATTCAGAGGATAAGAATTTTAGTATGTGCTCTAGAGACTTGTTCTTGTGATATTTTGGCTAAGAATGTGGCTGATTTTTGCCCTTGTCTGAAAATTCTGCTTTAAATGAAGAGTTTTGAATTCCATTGGCAGAGGAAATCTCAAAACAGCTTAGTATTGCCTCCCTCATACAGTTATTAGGATTTACTCTTAGGAAGATCTACAATGAAAAGGAGCAAGCTAAGCAAGGAAAAATATAAAATGTACAATTTGAGGAGAAAGGGGGCACCAGGAAGTACAATGGAGTTAAATCTTGTGTACAAGGAGATAGATTTAAAAAATGCCTGATGTTACATGGAGTAAGGGGGAGTGTTGACCTCATGACAAGATCCCACCCAGTTAAGCTTCCAACTTGTGAAAAGAAATTAAAGAACAGCTTAGGTTCAGGCATAGTGATACATCTTTAACCCTAGTACTCAGGAAATGGAGGCATGCAGATCCATGAGTTTAAAGCCAGCCTGGTTTACAGAGCAAGTTCCAAAACAGCCAAGCTTAGACAGTGAAGGAAACCATCAAAAATAGAAAGCTGGCAAAGATGTAATTGAACAAAGAGACCATATTACAGCCCCAGGAAGCAGCAGCACTTGGCAGCTTTGGCTATGTGGTTCTGGTTTTAGAGTCAAGAACAGAAAAAAGGGGTATGGAATCTCCCTCCAAAACTAAGGAAAGCCACTGAGGCCAGGCATGTGGCAGGAGGGTCCCCACATGGAGGCCCAGAGAGGCCACTGTGTGAATCTGTGAAGGTGAAGCCTGGATTGTTTTGGAGACCCCAAAATGGTGGAGATGCCAGAGTCATGGGATGTTGCTGCTAACAGGGAGTGGAATCAGGCCAAGATAAAGAAGTGTATTGCAGTCAACAAAACTCTGAAGAGCTCTTTGACATCAGACATGGAGATGCAGAGTTTGGAGTAAGTCCAGCTGGTTTTATGTCTTGCTTTGGTCCAATGTTTCTGCACTATTTTCCCTTTCCTCCACTTTGGAACAGTAATGTATATCCTGTGCCATTATATGTGATTTTTTTTTAATTTTGATTTTACAGGGGATTACATTTAATATACTGCATGAGTCTCAGAAGAGACTTTGAACACTGGACTTTAAACAAATTTGAGACTGTTACAGACTATGGGGATTTTTGAAGTTGGACTAAATGCATTTTGCATTATGTTATCACTACAAGTTTATGGGTGTCAGGGAGTGCAACGTGGTGGTTTGAATAGGTATGGTCCACATAGACTCTTGTGTTTGAATGCTTGGCCCACAGGGAATGGCATTATTAGGAGGTGTACCCTTTTGGAGTAGGTATGGCCTTGTTGGAGCAAGTGTGTCACTGTGGAGGCAGACTTTGAGGATTCACATATGCTCAAGCTATGCCCACTGTGAGAGTTCACTTCCTGTTGCCTGCAGATCAAGATGTAGAACTCTCAGCCCCTTCCCTAGCACCAAGTCTGCCTGCATGCCCCCATGCTTCACATCATGATGATAATGGACTAAACCTCTAAAACTATAAGCTATCCCCAATTAAGTATTTTCCTTTATAAGAGTTTCTGTGGTCATGGTGTCTCTTCACAGCAACAGAAACCATAACTAAGACAGGTAGGAAACATTTTTTTTTTGGGGGGGGGGTTCGAGACAGCATTTCTCTGTGGCTTTGGAGGCTGTCCTGGAACTAGCTCTTGTAGACCAGGCTGGTCTCGAACTCACAGAGATCCGCCTGCCTCTGCCTCCCAAGTGCTGGGATTAAAGGTGTGTGCCACCACTGCTTGGCTGGTAGGAGGCATTTTTATTGAGATGAATATGCATACAAAACACACACCATGCCTACCAACAACTACAAGAGTCACTGCAAGTGGAAATTCCAAGTACACCAACCTAAAGGCACCTAACTGCTATAGAAGTCTCTAGAATGGCATGGCATGGCATGACACAGCACAGTACAGCACAGTACAGCACAGCACAGCACAGCACAGCACAGCACAGCACAGCACAGCACGGCAGACCAGTTTCTGATAATTTCCCAGGGAAAAGACTCCTAGATGTAAACACAGGGCTCAGAGAACTGCAGCACTGTTCCCAAATGGCCCAAAGCAGGCACAAATATATCCTTGTTAAAACTGTACACTCAGCAACACCAGTACTCAGAAGTCCCATATATGATCAGGTGGGAAGGGTAGGTGCAGGAGCAATCTAACAGCTGGTGAAAGGATGTCTGCAGGCATGGGGCATGTGTTGGAGGGCTGAAACAGGCGAGCAGAGCCTCCCACGCTACAAGCCAAACTAGGTACTGGAGTTGACCAGGGCATCCTGGACACAGTTGATACCACAGCCAAGCAGGCTAGGTATACTGATTAGTTTGGGGTAGCAAAGTACTAAGGTTCTGAAAATCTGCTTCTGCCAGCTGTGGCCACAGAGAAAGAAAGAGAAGGCTATGGGAGAGGATTTCTGTGAAGGTCTCTCTGAGGAAAGAAATGTGTAATGTCTAGCCTCTAACCACAGACCTACAAAAGTCATGTTAAGAGCTGTAGTAGAAGCAGAGAACTCCAGGGTAAAGCATAGAATGGGAAGCCAGGTTCTCACAGGGTATCAGAGCTTTGCTGGCAGCCCTGGGAGTCCCACACTCAGGCTTCTCTCCATTATCTCTCATATCAGAAACTAACTCAGGAATTTAAAAAGCCCAAGCTACTTACCTAGACAAGAAGTGTCCTGTGATGGCTAGTTTTATGTCAACTTGGCACAACTAGAGTTATTTTTGGAAAAGAGAACCCAAATTGAGAAAATTTCCTGATAGGCCTGCAGGAAAATCTATAGTGCATTTTTTTGACTAATGATTGATGTAGAAGACCCAGCTCATTGTGGGCAGTGCCACTCCTGGGCAGGTGTTCCTGTGTGTTTTATAAGAGCAGGCTGAGCAAACCACGATGAGCAAGCCAGTAAACTGTTTTCCATGACCTCTGCACTGGTTCCTGCCCTGACTTCCTAGGATGGTGTACAAGCTGTAAGATGACATAAACCCTTTCCTTTCCAAGTTGCTTTTGGTCATGGTGTTTTATTGCAGCAATAAAATGCTAACCACAGCACAGACACAAGCTACTAGGCTGCAATCTGCCTCATGGCTTATACAGAGATGTCTATCCTCCTTGCAGTAGACAGGGGCTGAACTCCAGAC